TCTATAGTTGTCACTACCCTCCCACCCCCTATTGTATGCTAATACCTATTGTAACGCTGTTTATTTTTGTCCCTTTTCATGTTGTCAATTGTAAAGGAGATATAAAATATTTAAACCCATAATTTATTATTAATAAAACTTATGAAAACATATTGCATAACATTATTGTTAATTTTATTTTAATAGTTTAACATTATACTTTTGTTTAAGATCTATAATAATATATTGCATAAAATTAAAAAGGTATAAATTACAATTATTGTTGCTTGTGTCTCCACTGTGTAAATATATAACTATTGATTAATTAAATTAAATTTTATGTACACACGTAACACAATTTATTGTTTTTACTGATTAGTTCATAGTTTTTATTTTGTCTGCATATTAAAATATTAAATGACTAATTAATTTGAGGCTCGATTTATAAATAATTGTCTATAATAAACATTTGTTAAGTTATTTTTGGTGCTCATCAATACTTCCAATTGTATTATGATTTGATTGTATAATGAAATTAGTTTGAAATATAATATATACTATATAATCATATAAAGACAATTAAATATGTTGTATACACTTCATGTGTAATACTATCAGTCACTAGCAGTTGACTGCAATTGTAATCCATTCACCGTGTGTTGAATGATGAATCCAATAAAGGATATTCCAATATTAAATAAAGTAATATGCATATATTGCCATGTTAAAATTGTAATAGTAAATAGTCAATACTGTATGTGTTATAAGTATAGCGATATATTTATTTAGAAAAATTCATTAATAATGTTATTAATAAAGTATAACCTCCCCATACAATAGAGGCTCGATAATGACCCTAGAGTAAAATAGTGGTAATATGTAAACAGAATTCGAATAAAACATATTTTATTTAGAAATATTTATTCACGATAATTATTTTAGTATTAAAATTCTAATCAAATTCATTTTAATGACAATAAACACATTTTAATATAAAATTCTCAACATTATTGTTTCAAATTAAACGTTATCTAGTAATAATATTAGATACATGTATTGTACGCGTTTAATAAGTAATTATTGCCTACATCATGTTAGATTTAAAGATATTTGTTGCTTTTATAATCTTATGGGTGTTGATTGTGTTATGGGCCACAATTAGACATGTATTTACCATAATCTTCTCAAAACAATACGATAACAAGAAAACATCGGATAAAATATTAAATTGTTTTTCTCTAATCACTAACTATTTTGAGTCAATCAGTGTTAACAACGGGTCGTCGACTAGAAATGCTAACAAAACCGATGGTCAGCCTATCGGTGGATGTAGTGTATTGGATGGCATGCGAGCGTTGATCAACTTTTACATGATGTACATGCATACTATGTATGCGTTAGTGTTTAAACTGACCGAGTTCAAAACAGCGAGCAATAATCACCAGGCATTGTAAGTAATTATTTTTAGAAAGATATAATGCTTATTATTTTAACACAATTTAATATAATTAAAATTACATTAATTAAATTTTTTTAAATAGTTTTGCGGTCGTTGTTTGCCATAGAATAATAATGGTGTTCGCATTCATGTCCAATGGATTCGCAGCAATGAAATGGTTTACACGACAATTGATGCTCAAAGACACGAAATTGAGTGGTAATCAAAAACTGGTCAATACATCCATTAGATTTTATTTCGACAGAATTACTCGAATCGGTTTTATGTATTATTTGTCGCTTTATTTTTACATAATTTTTATCAAATATTTAATTTCCGATCGATTTTATGACAAACAACTGTCGGATTATTGTCAGGAAAATTGGATTTTTGACGCATTGTTTATTAGTAATTATATCAATGGAGTGGTAATTATATTAAAATTTTTATAATATTGTAAATCATTTTTACTTATATAGTTGGTATTTATATAATTATGTATAGTGCATGATGCCCCATTGGTCAAATATGGTATTAATACAGTTGACAATATTTACCCCACTATTTATGATTTTATTGCGCAGGTTAGTAATTTAATTACATAATTTAACTATTCCTTGTTAATTTAATCAAAAATGTTATTGACTCAAAATGTTAGTGCGAGAGAGGGAGAGAGATAGAGAAAGAAAGTAACACAATTGTTTAATACAAATACATTAATTATATAAATTTCAATTTTTAATTATTTTTTTCAGGAATTTCAAAAAAGGAGTTCTTGTAATAACTCTATGCAATATTTTGTTGTCAATTAAAACATTTTATACAATGTATTCATACGGTATCACAACTGAATCAATGAACAACACAATGAATTTCCCCAATAATCCGTTTTCAATGAAAATGTATGTAAAAATAATAATGATTTTATTTACCATGATAAAACATTAAATAGTAATCTAGTTTATGTCACTAGGGTTGAAAATACAACCATGGGCTTATTTCACGTCAAGCCATTAACCTATGGCGCAGCATATCTCAATGGGCTAATATTAGCATGTTTAGTTGATCATGGTTATTCGGCAAAAATATACCAAAGTGGATTAGCTGCTAAAACGTGTCTAACCTTAGGCCTTGTTGTGGTGACAAATACACTAATCGGATACCACAGGGGAACTGAACTGTTGGGTGAGCTCCCGGTGTTCAGCGCGTGGGAAAAGGGTTCAACCGACTTATGCCTATCATTGCTATCGTGTTATGCCGTTATATACGCGCGCGAAAGTGGGGGCCGTTTAACACGTTTCCTGTCGACCCGGTATTGGCGGCCAATACGGGCCGCACAACAGACCACATACCTGTTTCACGCGC